AAAAAAGGGTTCCCAACCCCCCCCCCCCCCCACAGAATAGAAGCCCATCCGGAATAGAAGCCCAGTCTTGACTTTATAATTTTCCAATATAATAGAAGCCCACCCAGTGGAAAATTCTAGACTATATGAGATTATACTAAATTAGATTATAATCTGGCATAATCTCTCATTTTTCAGTGAGCACTTAATTCGAAACATGTTCGTACAAAGACATGAAGAAAAGAAAGCACATTATTGACAGTAGTCAATTCTTTTAAATAAATATTCATATACGTCAATCTATTTCTTTCACATATATTATTTCGTTATACGATATTGTGCATTTTTGCTGCACAATAAAATTGTGAAATGGGTAGAGTTTATCTTTGTAAAAACGTTCTGAAGCTTTTTGTAATAACAACCCGTGTTCTTAAAATCGCGAGAAAATTCCTGAAATTGTGACTTTTCCTGGGAAAATCGCAATTTGTGTACTTTGTCGATAAAAATTGACGATTAATAACGGATAATTTGACGATTTGTTTTCGAAAAGCGTGATAAATCGCCAGAAGTGCGCCAATTCCGAGGAAATTGCAACACAGATTAGTAGAAATTTCAAAGATCAGGAAATTGATGAAATTCTATTTATCGTTGCTTTCTAACTTACATAAATCTCGCTCTACAAGATGAAAAAGCTGATCGTAATAGAAGCCCACCTTTAAACTCATAATTTTTCAAACAAATTAGAAGCCCACTGGGCTTTTATTCTGTGGGGGGTTTAGTCTATGCTTTGTATGGCGCTTCGAATGATATCGGCCAAACATAAACGTACTGTCAATTCGTTTTCTACAGAGCTCTCCAAACGTATATCCACACTTGAGAGACGCATCTGTCCTATTGAAGCCATATCTAACCCTGTATTTGTCCATTAACCTCTGCTATATCTGATTCTTTATTTCTATCCTTAACCCTTAATTCTATATCTGATTCCTTATTTCTATCCTTAACCCTTAGTTCTATACCATACTACTTAATTCTGTGTAGTTTCTAAAAAAACGTTGTTTCCTGATTAACCCTTAACAGATTTCCAAGCTCAGCAAAATGAAAACCCAACATGGAACCTGAAATAAATCGACAGCCAATAGAGATTTAGTCATTATGCCGTGTGTCATAAGACCACGACACGACATATATCGCTCTCTCCGGAATATGCACATGTCGCGTAACCATTCGACGAGATCCACTTGAATAATCTAAAACAAAAGAAGAATTGATGTGAATTTTTGATTCTCGAATATAACTCACCAATTAGACAAAATCCATTTGAACAATCTAAAACAGAAAAGGAAACTTTAATATTAGTTTTTGATTCTTGAATGCTACGTACCATTCGGAGGAATGCCACTTAAGAAATTTGAAACAAGAATAATAGGCATAAGGTTTTAATTCTCGAATGTAACTTACAAGTTCTGTGCAATTCATTTGAAGAAGTTAAAGAGAAAAATAAATTTTGGCATTATGTTTCAATTCTTCAATGTATTTTACTCGTTCAATGAAATCCATTTGAAAAATCCAAAAGAGAATTCCAATTGATATTGGTTTCTCATTCCATCCCTTGATTTTTAGGATAAAATCAGTCATATCTGAAACATACGGATTTTCGAGCCTTTAGAAACAAGCAATTTACTCTCGGAAACTCTTCAAGTGTTGATAAACATTCTCGAAAAACTCTAAAGGTTTGCAAAACGGTTTCCGAGAGAGCTTCAGTTTTCTATGAAACGATTATTTTTTTTTAAAGTAATTCCTTATGTCCGTCCTTACCTCGTATTCATTTAGGTAAACCCTAATTTCTAGTTTTAAGCCGAAATGATATTTTTAGCCCCTAAACTATATACTCAATGCCTTCTATTTACCGTGACCCGTCATATCTATCCTTAATCTATGAACTCGACATCGAACTCCTTCTTTCGATATCCACTCTCCTAAGAGTGTATATAAATTCTTATGACCGTCTAAGCTATTATATGCTTATGTAACACTTTTTTCTACGACAATCCTTTCAAAACTGTAATCAACTCCTCATAAATATGTCGAGCTCGTTACAACTATATCTATTCCCTTGTAACTGTTTTTAATGACTTATAACTTTGCCAAAGCCCTTATTTCTATATGTCACTTGTGAAAACTATTGATCACCACATATATCTATATCGAAATTCTCATAACTCTATATAAATTATGAGCTGTATCCACATTGGGCCCATGGAGTTTCAGGTGATACAAAAAAAGTTGTAAAACATATGTATTTTACTTTGAAGAAATAATTGAATGGTTTTGTATTAGTGTTAAACCGGTAACTCAATACTTCAGCATTCGTGTTAGTTTAGTATTAGCATAATACAAGCACTTATCTTTCAATATTAGCTATTGGTAGATATATGTATTCAGTTGAAGTCTGAAAACAGAACAGGACTATTTTGTTAAGGCAACATCGATCGTCAAATCTCTTATACGAATTATCTGAGCACTTTATACTTATGTTCTTCTTTTGTTAAGAAGGTTGATATAATAGACATGATTTAATTCTCTTCTTTTATTTAATTTTAAATAATTTTAAATTAAATAAAAGAAGAGAATTAAATCATGTCTAATTTTTTCTTATGTAAGTCTTAAAGCTTAGATTTATTTGAAGCATATTTATATATTTCGAATCACCTATATCCATCGTAAACGTCATACATACTCTTAAGTTCTCAATATCTATTCCGGATGGGCTTCTATTCTGTGGGGGGG